CCCAGAACTCCAAATACTCTGCTTTCAAGTTGGGTTTTTCCCAGGCCCCTGGGCAGCGCATCCTCTGCTCCTGGTTATAAAAGCAAAGAACAAAGTTTTGGGCCACAGTTCCTCTTCATCTTATCAATGCTATGGATAAAGGTTAGGTAAAATACTTGGTTCATTATTATCCTAGGTCTGTCCCCAGGTGTGTCACCAGAGAGGGTGAATTTAATTTAATTAAATTTTCAGTTTCTGCTTGCACAGCCTTCACTGTTGAACCTGGGAGACTCATCTGGAGGGGTGGCTCAGGTGGGGTGAAATGAGCCCCACCAGCCACATCTCCATCAGAAGGTCTTTCTCGTTTGGCACAGTTTCCCTGTGGTTCTTGCTAGTTTGTCTACATAGAAAGGAGAAAATAATGGGAAGAAATAGGACTTACCTCTGTGGACTCACCAGCGAAAGTGTATTTTTTATTTATCTTTAAAGGATGCTAAATGATGCTGTAAATCCTTTTGCCATAGACAGACAAACGATGCGCACCTGACACCTCCTCTGGAGAAAAATCCAGCCTGTGTAGACAGTGGGAGGTGGGAGAAGTAAACAGCCCCTCCAAGAACAAATCCCTGCTGTGGAGTGGGCAAAGAGAAACTGTAGATACTTCTGTAGATTGTCGCAACCTTGGAGGCTCATGCAACTACACAACAGCCGAAGGTAACCAGAACACTTCTGCACCATAAAGCTCTGAACTAGGCATATCAAAATTACAGCTTTTTTTTGGTCTTATTCTCCCATTTACACCTTCTACAGATGGCTGACCTAGAGGTGCACGCCATAGTTTTAATGCAAACCCCTGACTTTTGGAGAACTATTTTAATGTTTGCCCTTCCATTGATTCCAGCTGTTAGGTTCACAGATAGCACTTTGGTGTCATCTGCAGATGGTGCCTTAGGTCACACAATGGTTTTTTCCACAAAGACCATTAGCCAGCTACATCAACAGAAACAGTATTTGCTTGCATTAACACGGAAACACGGTGAAATCAAAACATCATTTTGTGGTACTCATCAAACAGATCCTTCTTTTGAAAGCCAAGGTGCTTAGTCCACCTCACACTTCATGGCAGAAGGCACAGACACCCCATAATCTCCCCATCCAAATAGGCCAGATCACAGAATCACAGAATCACAGAATCACAGAATCACAAAATCGCTTGGTTGGAAAAGCCCTCTGAGATCATCACGTCCAACCGTTCCTGTTTACTAAACCATATCCTTAAGTACCTCGTCTACCCGCTCTTTAAACACATCCAGGGATGGTGACTCCACCACCTCCCTGGGCAGCCTGTTCCAGCTTCTGACGACCCTCTCAGGAAAGAACTTCCTCCTTATCTCTGACCTGAACCTCCCTTGGCACAGCTTGGTGCCGTTTCCCCTTGTTCTATCCCCCATTACCTGGGAGAAGAGCCCAGCACCCACCTCTCCACAAGCTCCCTTGAGGCAGTTGTAGGTGGTGATGAGGTCTCCCCTCAGCCTTCTCTTCTCCAGGCTAAACAAGCCCAGTTCCCTCAGCCGCTCCTCATCAGGATTGTTCTCCAGACCCCTCACCATCCTTGTGGCTCTTCTCTGAACAGCCATTGACCATTGCCACGAGAAGTTCTAGTGATCCCATCCCTGCCAGATGAAGCACTGCCCTGACACCTAGTGCTAGCTGGTGTCCTCTCAAAAACCACAGAACAGCTTTCCAAAGCCATGAAACGCTCTGCTCTTCCCTTCTGGGTCAAATTACAGGCAGTTTCTCTCTCTGTGTCTCCTCTGGTACAGTTTCAGGGCAGAGGGGAAGCAATGCAGGAGGCCTCCTGCCTACTCCAGCTGAGCAGGTAGAGCCAGACTGGTGTGGGTGGAGCTGGTGGGACGGTGCAGTCTTGCCTGCTCCTGGAAATGCAGTGCTCAGCAGCCCAACCTCTCGGTGCAGGGCTCTTCAGCTCTGGTATCCTGCAGTGGGCACCAGCCCAACAGTGGCCTCTGACTTGGTTTGCTTTTCCACCCTTCGAGCAAGCCTTGGCCTCCTGCAAAGCTGTTTGAGCAGCTCCTTGTGCAGTGCAAACCATCTGAGCTGGCAGCTGAAACCCATCCGGCAGTGAACAACAGCTCCGGATCAACACTGAAAATGCCAGGTCAAATAAAAGGGTCACCTTCTGCTTGGGTGATCATCTTTACCGTACTGTCCTTCAGCTCTTCGTTAGGCAGTAGAAATGAAGGCATCAAGAACTGAGTGAGCTTCTGACCCACAAAGGTGGCCCCTCTGAAAAGGGACACTGGTGGCAGATGTGTTTTGAGGGTCTGTCATCTGTCTTCCAGTGGACAAAATGACTTTTACCTCCCTGTGCCTGTGTCTTCTGAGCACTCCTAACAACTAAAATTTAAAAAAAACCTTGTCCTTTTTTTTCGTAATTCAGAGCCAAGCGTATATCAAGAACACACAACTGAAACTAGGCAGAGTTGAAAAATATTCTGGTCACTTTTTATTGAGCACCAAAGTGGCAGAACCTGTACAGGTCAAAGCACCGAGGGCACAAACCAGGAAGGCGCTGCCCGGGGCTGCTGCAAATCCTTGGCTGCTGCAAGGCAGAGCAGCTCCACGGGCAGCGCTCGAGGATCTGGAAGGCCGTGAGCATTGGTGGCACACAGTGATACACGTAAAGTTTATTATAGCACCAAACATGCTTTAAAGTGTACATGGGAACGTGAAAAACAACCTACATCGGTGATTTCCCACTGTGCTTCACAAGGCCGTTGTCAAGCCATTTGTCTTTGGAGAGGAGAGAAGCAGAGGACGACTTATTTGGTTTGTGTGTTGTTTTCAGCACCTGAGGGATGCCAGTGTTCAAAACACAGCATTTAAACAAGACTCTTCTGTGGCTTTTGTTTGCAAGTTTAACAATTAATAATTTGAAAAAAAAAAACCCCCGAGAATTACAGCACCACGAGGAAGGGTGATGTCTTCGATAACACCCAGTAAACAGAAATTCATCAACAAATTATGAATTTGTCCGTTTTCTTCTTTAAAAAAAACCTTTTCGCAAGTAGAAAATATCTTTACCATCCCATCCAGCGAGGTGGTGAGGTACGTGCTTTTGCAGCTAACAAAAAAGCAGCCGACTGAAGTGAATGTGTTCACTTGAATTGAGTACATTTCTGGTTGCTTTGCAAGATTTGGTTGAGATCTGAAGTTTTAGTCTTGCAAATTTGTCAATGCTCAACACAAGTCTTTCGGTTAGACTCTCACAGTGTTTTAGGCGCTGCATGTTTTATTTTAAAATAGAACAATTTGGCATTTGCGCTTTGGGGCTTAGCAGCCACCACTGAAGGGCTCTGCTCATTTAATCAGAATGTGATTTTTCTGCAAAAAGTAATACTGAAAAAAAAATCAATCCTCCCACTGAGGAGAGCCCAGGAGCAAGGCTGCATTAGGATTTTCGTTATGAGTTGTGTTGCTTTAAGTTGTCAAGTAACATCAGTGGCAAAGCGGTAAGTGGCCTAAACTGAGATTGGAACTATAAAATAGGGATGGACTCCTGTCTCTCAGCAGGAGTTAAGATATCGTTGTATGAAGTTTTATAGGATAAAATTCTAGAAATAGATCTGTCCTAATATGGTGTTGCGTTTAATACCTGCAATTTGGAACAAAGGCACAAAGAAGTGAACGGAGTTCAACAAATGAAGCTGTCTGGGAAAATGTGGAGCCCTTCATCTGTTCCTTTGCTCTGCAGAGCATCGAGGAGTGCGCGTGTTCCTGACAGGAAACAGAAGAGCAGTTTGGCATCTTTCATCTCTCCAGCTGCAAATGTCATATGCAAAGTATCAAGTGTTTTATAGGCATCTTAGCTTTGGCTTGAAACATTCGGCGAGTGGCAAAAAATCCCATGGTTTGTGGGTGGAAGCAGGCACTTGTATTTGTGAATTGAGTATTGATGTACATCACTACTCTGCGTATTAAAACGCTGATTTAATGCAGGCAAATGGGGCCATGTACTAAACCAGGGAGCAAATGTGGCCTCTTTTGCCTAGTACTTCTGGCAGATTTGTCAAAATTAAATGCAACTGTCCCTTTAGGATGGCCACAGAAAAGGAAAATACTCCTAGAAAATGTGCTTTCCATTTGATAATGTAAACAGCTAAAAGAAGCTGTAAGGCTCAAATACAAATAACTTGATCTAAAGTATTTATGGAAGTCTACATAATGGTACAGGACTTCTAAAGAGCAGTTGCCCATCTGCCAGGCAATCCATTTAATCACACAAATTTATCCTGCTTTCGCTTTTCTAATACGTGCAACAGATAATCCAGACTTTAACTCTCTTGCTGAGGTTTTGCAGGTACAAAAATGCAGATGTATATTAACTGTGCTGGCTAAAAACCATGACTTAAAAAGACTGGCACACATGTATCTGCTTAGATACTGTAGAAAGAAATCTGTTCTGTCATTAGCTCTCGATCTGCAGCTCACCAGCCTGAGAAGCTAAAGGAAAGTAGCTTTAAAAAAAACCAAAACATTTCTAAAACCTGTTTTGCTCCTAGCTCAGAGTTCCTCAAATTCTTAAGATTTCAGGTTTAGGCTTGTAGTCTGGGTGTCAAGCCTGGTGAACCCTAGGTATAAATAGGAAAAGAAACCTGCAGGTTTCTTCAAACATTAAGCTTGTGAAAAGGCTGATTTAAAGCAGCTGTTCGAGACAGACAGGCACTGGATTGGATCCAGAGAGCCCCTTTCAGTCCTACATTCTTGCCAATTTTAACGCAGCTCAGATATGACATTTACGTACAATTCTGACGTCACTTCAGTTTTACAATGCTGAGTTATGCTCATGGTCATGAAATCGGAATCAGTCACATAACAGGCACATAAAGGGCAGGTTTTGTTCCAGCAGCCTGATAATGGCCCTGTGGCTTATAGGATCCGCTCGGAGGTATTTACATTTCACCGGTAGAAGGGCAGCTGATAAACAGTGTGGTTTCTTTCAGGGGATCACATTTCTCCCCCTCCTGATAGGCTTAAAATCTGAAGTTGTCCTGTTCCTTGAATAGCAAAGTCCTTTTATCACGGATGGGCAGGGATCAGGGTAACGCTGGAGACGTGTTCACGGAGATTTGGGACCAGAGTTCTTCCAAAACAGAAAACTGTTGGGTAAAGCGTTCCTTGACAGTTACTTAACAGAGTGGTCCAGCTGAATGAAAATCAAACAAAAAAGAGGAATTAAAATATTTATCCATCCTGGGATGTTTGCACAGAACTTGTCCTTATGTAGCTGTGTAATCTTAACAGCCAGCCTGACGTCAGTACATACAACACACACTGAACGGCTTTGTTTTCATAACTGCTGGTTAAGCTCAAGTTAGGCTTAAAGCGAAGCTGAAAGTGTTGAGAAAACCATCTTGGGACAGAACCTTTGGTATAAGAAGTGTTTTCACTCTTGCCAAATCCAAAGCCTGATAAAAGGACTGAAGCTTTTTCAGTTGGCGTCACTCTGGCCAGATACGTGTAGGTATCACTACACTGTTCAAAGCAACTGTTCACTCACATAAAGTTATCCCCCAAAATCACTCATGTGCCTAAGTATTTGCAAGACTGACTCTTACTGCAATCAGTCCAGAATAAAGAGCTTTTCCGTTTGTATTGCAGGAGCAGCTATACCTGCATTAGAAGAAGCCCCTAAACAGAAAGTTTAACGTCTCAAGGCACACAAAGTTTTGCAGCATTTACTTTTCATCCTGAAAACCACTTCTCCATGAACAGTTTGCAAAGCTCAATCCCCAATGCCACAGGTTCTCAGGATACCTTTTATACCTGTACATAGTTTTAAGGTGCTGTCCTTATACCGGTGTTTTGATAAGAGGTAATTTCACCCTCAAATGAGAATTTCTTTAACTAATTGCATACTAAGCACCAACTATTTTCACCCAGCTTTCCCTTTATTCACAGGGCACTTACCCAGGCACGCCTTCCTTTAGCCTAAATGCTTCTGCTGGTTTTTCACGTAGCCGACCACATTGTTGGAATTGCTCCCTGTAAAACAAATAACAGCAAAGTTAGATTTTAAGTTAGTGTGTGGCAAATGTTTTCTCCAGATTCTCTAAGCAGTACAGTTGTACTGGTCTTATTATTCAGCAGCTCTCTTGGAGAGCTGTGATATCCTTTCATAATTTTATCAGCTAAACTGGTCAAATATGGCTGTTCATAAAATCTTATCAAACCAAAGATGTTGTCTAGTTCTATCTGAATATCAGTCCCAATCTGATCTGACTGTTGCCCTCTAGATCCTAGAAACCTCTAGAAACCAGGAGCCTTGAAGCCATGAGAAAAGAGAGCTCACAGCCAGGGCATTGCAGATCTTAAAATAAAGTCTAACCAAGGCATGGAGGTTTGAGGCTGAAGAATCTCTTTTTGCTACGTACAAACCTTCATTTCATAAGCAGCAAATTCCTTTTAAGCAATGCAATAGCTATAAAGCTAAATAATAGCAAACACTTCATACCAGCAGCTTACCAAAATATTCCTTGTAATACTTATGCCTCAGGTTGCGTCCATCTGAAAAAGAAGATACGTAACGAGAACATATCCGGTCAGCCTTTATCCTTTGTGCTAAACTCCAGCCTTCTGTGTACAGCACAGAGAAATTATAGATATGGAAATAATAACCTTAAAAAGAGGAAAACATAAGATCGCTATAGCTGAAGTAGCATAGGCTGCTATAAACCTCTTATAGAGCTGTTTAGATTACTGAACTGTGTGGATACATCTCACCTTCCCTGAGAGTGGTTAACTGCTAGCCACTAGCCTGTTATGTTCTTTTCAATAGATACGAGTCAGGAAATCCCAGACTTCCTCAAATAAAAGAAAATTTGGGTAAAATTTCAGACCATCTATCAGTGTTCTACATCATTCGAGTTCCAGTCAGGTTTTCCTGTTTAGCATTTATATAATTATTTAAGCTCTTAGAAGTGCCTTGTGTTTGAGAGCCACACAGCTACACATTACATTAGTTACTGCAGATATTATTAAAGAAAAAGTCATAAAATAGTGAAAGAGATGATCAAAAAGCTCTGGAAAAAACTTCAGTCTTTTATGGAAGCAGTTCAGAGCTCTGGTTTGATGCTTCCCCTGGCTTTTACAGTGATCAAATGACAAAAGTGATGTCTCATGTCTTTACACTGAGATGATTTGTAGCCCGGTGCAAACATACATATCTCACTATTCAATGGAGTTACACATACCTAGACATGCTATGAGCTTTCCTGGAAAACAGCTTGGCCTATACAAGTTCCTTTACTGGGCAAATGTGTCAGCAGAATAAAGGGAATGATGTTTTGGATGCAGAAATCAAAGTCGGAAGTCAAAACTGGAATTTGAAACTCATATTTCTTAGTTAAGCATGTATCAATAAATAAATGTTTCTAGCTTTTCTGCTGTGTCATAATGGCACATGCAAGTTACTACAGAGACTGCTGCGGAGTGGGGACTGTCTCCCAGTCAGCTGTCACACACTGCCATGGAGCCTTGGGCTGCCCAGAAAACCCATGAGAGCAGATGTACCACCAGATCTCCTTCAAATCATCCCTTCCCGGTGTTTGCATGAGAGAACAAGAAAGGAAGGGAGATTTCCAGTCAACTGACCTGGATTTCCACGGAGCTTGATGCACTGGCCCCTGTTAGGGATTCCTTCAGCCATGTTACCTGGGTCAATGATATGGCATTCATAACCTGTGGGGCAATGAAGGGGTTCATCTCCATCCTCAGTGGTACTGCAGGCCTCAGCTGCAAAAGAAGCCTGCAGGTCATAAATTACGGCTATAACATCCACAGGTAACCAAAATATGACTACATGGCCACGTTCTTCTGTATCTCCTCCCAGGCAGGATCTTAGACTACTTCCCGTGCAAGGGTACCAAGGAGCTAACACCTCCAAAGAAGCCCAGCAGAGCAGGCAATCCAGTTCACACCTTACATAAATTTGACGTGTCTAGCCTGATACAGGGAGTGCAGGTCAGCCCAATTACCTGTAATGACAGCCTCCCCACAGCCTGTTGTGCAGGGTCTGTGTGAGGGTTGGAGAGTGGTATAGACAGAGCACCACTGCCCACCATGCTCTCACTCATAGGTGGTCCCTCAACGTGGCTATTCTCCCCCAAGCAGCCACAGATCTGTTCCAGCCCGTGTTTTGGGCTTGGTGAGGAATGAGGGAAACGTGACCAGGAAGCTGGCAGTTTTGCTGCTTTGTTCTTTGCTCCACACCCATTAACTTACTGATGAATCTGAGCCTCGGAGGTGACTCACTGTGGAGTAAGGCAGTAACAGCCCCTCTCATGAATGGAGGCTTTAACCACCTTGACCCAGGCTATCCAGCAAGCACAGAAGGTAGAGCAGGACACACGGGCAGCGTTTGTGTCCATTAAATGTACAGACTATGCAGGGACACTCCACTCTTTCATTTGCCAGGATTTTCATTTCAAGGACCTCTGCTGTAACTCTCATGTCATGACTGATGGTTCTTACTTCACTAATTACTCCTTCAAGCTGAGACGAAGGTGTTAAGATAAGAACAAATAACATAAGCGTGACAAGGATGGATAAGGAGGAAGCTATTTTATCTTATTTCTAGCAGTGCGACTCCAATGAGCTGGAGGCAGAATTTTCTCTTGAAGAACTAGGATTTTCCATAATAGATGAGAGTCAAGGTTGGACAAGTCTGATACCATCTGTGTACAACCAAAGAGGGTAATTCATCAGTACTACCTGTGTCTGACTAAAGTTGATCAAAAGCTGGAGTAGCCTTTCCATGAAGAAGTTAAGACCTTCAGGCATACATACATCTGGGAATGTTTCGTAGAAGAAAAGCCTCTTCCCACCTCCCCACTCCCTCTTTGTTTCAATTTGAGGTATTGGGAATAAAAAAAATAAAAGACTTTTCCCTGTGAAAGGAACCTGAGGAGCCAAATCTCATTAGCAGTCCCCAAGTCTGGATGCTCCCAGCTCCACACCAGCTTAACACAACTCTGCAGCAGTTTGCCAGGGTTCTTGTTCAAAGCAGCTTCCAGACCCAAGAGCCACAGCCCCAGCCCAAGGCATCTGTGCAATGAGGCCACTCTGGATTAAAAGATCTCCTAACCCAAGTCCGCCCACAGTCCATCAGGAAGCTGGCAGAAAATATGTGCATGCTGACAAAGCCTTTTTCTAAAAAAAAAAAAGATCTATTTTCTACTTATTTCAAGAGTGGATACAAATCCAGGTCCCTGCAGTATTTCTAATGCTCTGCTGGATAAGTCATATCCATAAAAAGCAACTGATTTACTGCACCAGGAACTAGCCCCCAGCACCACACAGTAATATTCCTATGGAAACTCCAAACAAATACCAGCAGCCCCTGCATCCCAATATCCCTGGCAAGCCCTATGTACAATGAACACAGTACTTGGTGTCTTTGTATAATTACAGCTATCACAGAGAAGACAGTGAAATGTACTGTACCTTGTAAGACTTCCTCTGGGCCATCCAAAAGCCACCCATTTCCCCCCAGCCAGCGGGGTTTGGGCTGAACCAACCAGTCTAAAACTGTGAAAGACAGAAACAAGAAACCACAGAGTCAAGGTGGAGTAGCCATAGAGCACGTGGTCATGGAAAAGGGACAGATTTCCTCTAACAGCCTGTGACAAGGCTGTTAAATCTTAAATCTTTCTCCTGAAGGATGGATTTGAGTTTTCAGCAAGATACTCATATCCATGCCTTTGTTGTCCCAACAGAAGAGAGCCATGGATGTTATCCGTGGCCACAAGAACCTGGTGTCATACAGGTCAAAGGAACTGTTGCTTCCCATCCTCCATTCCCATGGCATGCACCAGATGAGAAGGCTGCTTCACTTTTGTGAGCACTAATTCGGATTAGGATGACTTCTTTTCCTGAATATCTAATCCCAGGAAAAGAACTGACTGCAAGTGATTCCTTCCATTTGCGCTGGTGGAAATTTTGCAACAGCAGTTTGTCTCAGATGAATTTTTGATCCAGCAATCATCCCAGATACCAGAAGTGTGGAACTGAAGATTTACCCTCAACTCACACTCAAACCACGCCTCCCATTTGAGACCCAATGCGCATGGGGAGGACAACCATCATTTCTGCGTGCTTCTCCCCACCAGTTTGGTCACTGGGCCCGCTCTACCTGGCGGTGGCTGTACAGACTCCAGGCAGGCGTAGATGCAGCCGTTGTAGCAGCAGCGCTTGTGCCTTTCACACTCTGAATCCGACCGGCAGCTGGGCACCTCGCAGGCTCGGTCAGGCAAAGTCTGGGGCGGCGGTGGACAGCGGTCGTTCTTCTGGTAGTGGGAACTGTGAGAATGAAGAGGGTACTCATAATCCTTGCAAAGAAAAGAGAAGGAAACAAAAGTTTGGCATAAGGTGAATACCAAACATCCCATCAGCTGAAACAGAAGAGGGATTTTTCTAAGTGGTTTTTGGGTATTCATTAGAGAAGAGAATGAATTGTTCAGCTCCCCCAGCCCTGTCTTCAGCACACTGAAAAGAGTTCTGTTATCACCTTAGCACACTGCTTTGGAAACACCAAACCACCAAATTATTGTGTGGAACTGATTTTATAATTACATTTATTATAATGACAATGTGGTGGTAAAAAAAAATAATAATCCTTTAAAGTCTTTTATACTTGTCTGTGAAAAAAAGAGAAAGACTCCAGGCATCCTCATGACAAGCACGCCAAAACACTTTGATGGTAAAGCAGTGGAAATTATGACACTGAATTCTTTTGAGGTTATGTTCCCAAATGGGACCTGGAATTAATGTCCCAGGTAGCAGCTGCCTCCTCAATCGGCTCCTTCTACTTCTATCTACTATCTATCATCTTCTTCTGGACCAGGACTCACAGGGGAATCTTTCAAGCTTATCCATTGTGGCGTCCTGGATTGCTAAATTAGAGACTATTTCTAAAGCATGAGATGATCTGGGTGAGATCTGTGTGGGTGATGGCGGTTTAATCCCAAAGAAAATGAAGCTGTGTTTGACTAAAGCAGAAAGGAGCCCGGCTGCTCATTGCTCACCAAAAGGAGAAGGGAGATTTAAAGTGGATTAAGAGGCACAGGATTTTACCAGAAACGTTTATAAGAGGCAGCATTCAGATATTATTCACGTTGGTGGCATTTTAGCAAGAAGCCAACTCCCTCCAACAGAGAGGTGAATCGCCCAAGCCCACTCCTTTCTCACCTATAGATAAACTACTCATACCTGGGCTTGAGCTCAGCTCCCCAGAGCACCATAAAGTACTTAGAAATGGCAAAATTCAGTTCTCAGATTTATTATCACACATTAATAAGTTCTAACCAAATGAAAAGATGGATTCTGGATTTGTACTTTTAAAAGAGATCAACATCTAGCCAGAGGTATGAAGTGAGCACTGCCATTACTCACTAGCAGGCTATTGAGTTTAAATGCCCTATATATACTTGGCCCCAATCACTGCTGTGTTACAAAATCAGTGATGAACAACGGGGCTTACTATTCCCAGAAACAACATGGTGCAACTCTCCCCGAGGAGGCCTCTAGGAAATTTCATCCTCATTGCTGAAACCTCCCAATGGTTTCTGTGGAGTGCGTGTGCCTTTGCAAAACAGCATGTCCCCACATGTACCGTCCAAAAACACATCCTAGGAGAGGCCCCAGGAGATCACTGCCCTGGGGATCGACTGCTGGCCCACACGGCCTCTGAGCAGCAGGCATTTATCTGTACCGGTGAGAACGATATCATCTTCCCTCTCTTGGGATAATTTGAAATGTAGAAGATGAAGGCAGTCCCAAGGAACACCAAAAGAACATTGTGGTTCTGATGTGAGATGTTTTACTTCCATATTGTACGTAGCAAAGAATCGCATGGAGGAGGTGGTGGTTTCTCCACCAAAGCTGATCTCCGTTCTTTGAGCCATAGCCAGGGGGAAACAGAGAGCAGCGAAGTTTCTCTGCTGCCTGGTTGAACAGCGACTGGGTCAGTGTAGGAGTGTAGAGAAAAGCCAGGATGATGAAAAGTTTTAATTTACAAAGTGTATGTTAAGGAAAATCCATATCCTGGTTATATCCGTAACTGGTTAAATAATGTGTGTCTATGTGTGAGAGACAGACACTTCCTAATATTTCCACAAATGACAGCCTGCTCTCAGGATCAGTCCGCCCTGTTCCCAGTATCAAGAATCAATTTTCTTTTGCTTTTTCCTTAGTTGTTTCCACTCAGTGAACAAGAAATTGCTCAAAAACTATTCCATGAGATTGTCTGAAGAATAATATAGGTTTGAAAAACGCTGTTTCCTAATTTTAACGATGCTTTCAATGTTAAAGTGTAAAAGAAGGCAAAAGCTATCACATCATTCCATTCCTCAAAAGCCTAAACACTCCAGGTTTGAGATAATGCACTTTAGAATTGCAGATATTGCAAATTCAATTTTTTTTTTTGCTGTTGTTGGATTTTAAATAGAGCAAATGCTTGGACCAAGTATGATTTTGCAAATTAAGGGAGCATTCAGCAGTAAATCTATGCAGTTCCAAGCATTTAACAGGTATCCTTGTTGAGGGAGCCTTCATCCTGGAAGGTCACAGTTTACTGTTCTATTATCTGCAACGTCAGCTGCAGACTGAAACGTGACCAAAATAACACTGGCAAATAATGGATACATGAAAAAAAAAACCCAAACCAAACAACTGCTGCAGTTGCTTCACAGATGATTGAGAAACCAAGAAGCCAAAACTGCAATGAACTGCTGGCGCAATGAATGAGCTTTCCGTTTGGGAACAATATAACATTTTTAGTCAAATTTCTTTGCACCTCATGACCTCCCTGCCCATTTTCTCTGTTCACCTATTGCTCTGAACCCCTTTCTTTCAACACCTCATGCTCAAAAAAGGAACTTTTTTGTGCATTTGATGTAATATAACCACCGCCACTGTTTTATGGATGCATAAACCACCCCAGTGGGAAAGAGGATTCTCTCATACCCAAAATAGCCTGGTTAAGGATGTCTCCAGGTAGGGGTTACAAGGTATTTTTAAAGGCTTTCCCAGGATTCACAGTTTGGCTCTGAGTATAGCTCGGATTTATTATTTTTACAGATTGTGACAACAGATGAGATTTCTTTCCTTAAGAATATTTTTCAGTGCAGGAGGCAAACTGCTGTTTCCCATGGAGACTCATTAAATCATTCTACTAACAATGTCTGCCTTAGAGGTATCCAGAAACCAAGAAAGGGAAAAAGTTCAGAGTTCAGCTGAGGAACCTGGAGGTCAGTGAAGAAGATGAGGAAAAAACTGAATGCAATACCTTGCTCTCAACCTGTATTTTCAATAATAACCGTGGGACGCAGCCTGCCTCCAAAACATCCCAGATCTCTTCTATTATTTGTGCCTGAAACTGGGCCCTGGGCTGGTGACAAAGCACAATTCTCTGCTAATTCATATTCTGTGTGGAGGTTTATTCCCAGCCTTCAGTCACCAGTTCTGCCCCTGGCAGGTATTTCTGAACGCTGGCCATAAACCACCTTTGCTATGAAACAACACACAGTCAGGAGGAATTTCGAGTCCTCCAGTATTTCCATCCAAGACCTGGAAAAACACAGATCAAAGTTGATCAGATTGAAAGAAGGTTAAATAATCTGAAGGACAAGACCCAAAACAATAGGAATAACATTCTCCTGCTATTTATTCTGGATCAGTGATTTTGGTTTCGGTGTCTGCAGTACTGGAAGATCATTGTGACGTTAGGGTGAGCTCAGAGGAGATGCACGAGAGCAATTAGAGGACTGGAAAGCAGGGAATGCAATGCAAAGGGGAGGCTGAGGGCTGCTCTGCTCATACGTCACTCTGAGGCATATACGGGACAGAAATCTCATGGGAGGTGTGCTAATCTGGTGGACGAAGAGGATATCTCAGTATCATTTATGACAGCTAGCTGGAGGGAAGCTAAATTGCTGGAAGAACATTACAGCAGTTTTGAGGAATTATTCATTTCTGGAAATCTTTAAAAGAAGGCAGGGTTGTTTTTTTTTTCAAAAATGTTTGATGCAGTTGACACTGGAGTAAAATCAAGATTGCCCCAGGTTTTCCCAACAGACAACTGGGTGTCCTGATAATGAACTGAAGCCCACTCCCAGGTAACTGCCTCCCTCTCCCCTTTGGGAACAGTCCACAGCGTGGAGGCTGCAGGATACCACCTGCAAATCACTGAACTCAACAAGCGTCCCTCGGGCTGTAAAACACTTGGATTTGTTAAAGCTGGAAGCCCAGCTCCTCCATCCCACTGTGACTGCCTGATTTTCTTTCTCACTGCATTCTCTCTCCTCTTTCTCCCATCTCCATTCCCACTTGACCTCTCTTTGCCAACCAACACCCTTCCTCAGAGTCCTTAGCAAAAAACTCCCGGCCAGGCCTCCCGCCAGCTCCTCATAACACCTGCTCGGTGTCCTGCAGCCAGCAGTTTGATGGATGCATTGCTCCTACGCTGGACTCAGAGGTTTTGGTCTCCCTACTCCTCACCACCTCTTTCCCCTACAGACCTTGCCCATGTCCTTCTGGGGTCCCACGGGGACATCTATGGCCCATCTCCTGTGAGGCTGCATGTTGCTGTGAGCACCTCCATCTGTTACCTCTACCCAAGTGCCTCACAAATCAGCAGTTCCACCCACAGCCTTGGATTTCCGAACTGTAGGGAACATAGAGCATTTGGTAGAAAAGAAAGCATCTCTCTGAGAAACAGGAAGGGCTGCCAAAACAGACTCTTGTTGGACCAGAGGATGGAGAGCGGACGCCTTCCTCCTTACAAGGCTTTGAGGAGAAGGAAAAAGAAAAGCATTTTGTGTTTTCCCTAGATAAGATGTTTCTGTCAATATGAGCAGTTCTAGCTGAGCTTGCCAGATCAGCAGCACCTGGATTCATGGCTGCCAGGAAAAACAGTGTACATTGAGAAAAGAGGATATGTCCTGAGGGGAGCAGGTTCTGTGTCTCTACAGAGCACATTATCTGAAGATCAACATGTAAATTCCTGTTCTACTCCTGTCCTGTCTCTCTGGGTCATTTACTCCATAGCTCCTATTGCATCTGAGCTTTACACTGAAGTATGACAGAAGAACACATTAATAAATACATTTTCCAGTGAGTGATTTTGTACGAAACACAGCTCTTCACGTCACCGTTTTCCAATTAAAGTGCAAACCAGATGATACCCTGTCCCGAGGGAGGCTACAACGAAGAAAATTTCTTGTTGTAAAATACTGGGGTGCCTTTCAAATATTAGCACAAAGTTTTCTGCAAAATTTCAAGGAGACAAGAGCAACATAGTTCAGTTCATTCAGCACAGGCAAAAGATGTGAGTCAGCAATCGCACAAACCAAACGTAGCTGTCCCCAGACGTCGCTCTAGATGTCATGGGCAAAAAAGCATCCATTTTAAGTTAAAAGATTTTATATGTGGCTGCAGAAAACAGGGAGAGGAAACCCTTTGTGACACCAAGGAGTTGTTTATGCACATGTAATGGCTGGAAGATGCAATCAGACCTGAGCATGAGAAAACCACCTAAGTGATTCAAGGGGCAGAAGCCTTGGGTCAGTGCTGGCTTCTAAGAGGACTTTAATGTAGTAAGTCAAAATTTCAAATTCCAATTTATTTTCTTTCTAAACAGCAGGTCCTGAAAGTCAAGCTATCAAATTATTCTCCTATATTTTTTTTAAATTTCCCCCATGGCCATCTCCAACCATCTTTTGTCCCAGACACACCAGAACAAGACCCTGCACCATCCTTTTCTCCACTCGCAGTAACTTGTTGCTGCTTCAGTTTGAATCCCAGTACCGCTCTAAGAACCACTGCAGATTTGGGAATGGTGGTTGTGCTCAGTACCCCACTGGTGAATAACCACAGGGCTCCTTATCCCCTCTGACACGCTGGGCAGGCACAGCAAGTGCTCCTGGGCACACAGGGGACCCTGGAGCCTCTGCAGCTCCAGCAGTTCCTGCCATTCCCTGGTTTGTTCTTACTTGTGATGCCTTGAGGATAAGGACGTTACTGTGACAGTGTGGATCTGGAGGTCTCTGTGCTCCAGGGATTTACAAAACACTAGGTGATGCCACCATTATCACCAGGAGTTAGTGACACTTACCCAAAGTTACCCCAGAAAGCACTGGAGGAACTGGGCAACCCTCCTCCCTGTTCTAAGCAAGCAATAACGTTATCTTCTTTTCATTAAATCTACCCTCAGACACAAGGTTTTTGCATTCCCCTTCTCCTCATTCACGCTTCCCTCGCTGCCCTGTGTAGTTTCTAGGAAAAGCAGAGACGGCTGTGGCACCAATGTCCTCTCACCGTCCCAAGCGAGCTTTACAAGTTTCCCAGTGCAGCAGCTAGGTGGCAAAAGTTTAGTACAGCCCGGGAGACCTAATGCAACCCTTTTATAAAGACACAGCCTGCGGATACAAACACTCCTTACACTAAAACGTTACACACGCATAAAGAAAACTGCCCTTTCACGGTGAGCACACCCAGCTCCCCCAAAACCACCCCACTGCAGTTTACTCACATCGTATTTCTCAGTCATCTTCAGATGCAGAGCACGCTTCCAGAGAGTCCTTGCACAGCCCAAATCTGGCAGCAAAACTAAGACGCACAAGGCTGCAGTGAAGATCTTTTTCCAGAAACGCATCTCTGACAGTGCCCTGGAATCCATTTTCCCACGGAGAGATCAAATAAGGAGCGCGGCTTTCGGGATCCAGACGATTCAGAGTCCTGGCAAGGAGGGAGGGCGACGGAGAGGGAGGGAGAGTGAGGGCTGATCGCTGCTGAGAGCCGCTTTTCGCTGCGCAGCTTCTGGGAAGGGAAAGGGGGGAGAAAAAACAGGAGTCCACAAGCAGAAGCCAGGAGCTGCTGTTGAACTTCTTTACTCCAAGTTAGATCAGGTTCTCGGCTCACACGTTCACACAAAGCACATGCTCTCCTTGAGTGATAGACGGGAAGATTACTTGGAAAGATTATTTTTAGACCTTTGTTCCCAACATCTGGCATCCTCTGAGAGCCCCATTCAAAGCCAAAGCGTGGGATCAGATGACAGCTGCCGCAGGGGGAAATAAAGGTCTTGGAGGGGTGGGCTCGGCAGCTTCTAGCAAACAGCTCACCCAAACTTCCCAACTTACTCAGCCCTCCCTTTGTGTGCTTCCCACTGTGCCCCGAGCTGCGTGTTTTGACAAAGTGATAACTTCAGATGAAGTTTGCTTGAAGGAAATGATTTAAAGACGTGATAAACGTGCAGGGGCTTTAATTAAACCAAGTTGACATTAGCTTTCTGCAAATGATTTCAAAGAAGGGGAAGATGTGGCCATTAAGGAAAAATAAATCCATAAGCATGGGTGGGGAATAGGGAAGGAAAGTGGTTTAGAAATGACATGAGCAAACGGAAAGCAAGGAAGGGGACGTGAGTCAGGCACTGCTTGACAATGGGAGAGACGCAGAGACGACGTGGGGTGTTACACACGTACGTGGATGTGGAGGCACCCAAATGCCTGAAGGAGAAGAATGGACTTATGAAATCAGGCTGAAAGCATCCCAGCATCCTGCCTGCGACAGAGGCAGGTGCTGAAAAAAACATACGAGAGCAGGGCCCCTGTTACATATACATGTAACATATACATGTCATGTTTATAAATATTTAAAGGGTGAGTGTCACGAGGATGGAGCCAGGCTCTTCTCGGTGACAAACAATGATAGGACAAGAGGTAATGGGCACAAGCTGGAACACAGGAGGTTCCACTTAAATTTGAGAAGAAACTTCTTCTCAGTGAGGGTGACAGAGCCCTGGCCCAGGCTGCCCAGAGAGGTTGTGGAGTCTCCTTCTCTGCAGACATTCAAAACCCGCCTGGACGCCTTCCTGTGCAACCTCATCTGGGTGTTCCTGCTCCGGCAGGGGATTGGACTGGGTGAGCTTTGGAGGTCCCTTCCAATCCCTAACGGTCTGTGATTCTGTGATTCTGTGATACAGGAGCACAGATACATACATAGGTGTATGTATGCATGCCTATACTTTCACAGCCTTCAGTAATGCTGTTCAGGGCTTCCTGAGCCAAATGTGGAGCTGTTTATTTTATAGTCCTTCATGAATTTCTCCTCCAGTAGCTTGTCCAGCCTTCACCTGGAAGGAAGAAAGAAATGGAACCACAAAGCTAACTGAGATATGAGCACTAAGCCTTGCTCTATAGCCTAGGCAGAGCAGAGCGGAGGCTTGCTGGACGCACCACATTCATTTTATATCTGCTGTAAAAAATTTTATATCTGTGGAAAAATAAAAAAATCTTCCAATTCTTCCTTATATCTGAAAGCTGTGGCTTTGATCCATGCTTAAGCATCAGGCATTTCATGGCATCAATTTTATGGCTCAGAGGCTTCATCACTCTCCAGCAGGCTCCCGAGAAGACCGTCTCAGCAGAAAGCATGGCTCTGGATCCCTGTCCATCTGCCTTTGCACCATCTCTCCCAGAGCTGTAGTCACCCATACAGTATTTATCCTAGTTGCCTTTAAACACGTCATTTCCCTTAGGCTGTCTTCTTTTCTGCACTTAATAAGGACAACTGAGGACAACTCCTGTCCACAGGGCAGCCTTTGGCCAGGCAAAGGGACTCCCAAAGGATTGAGGGGTCTCCTGGTGAAAGCAGAGCTCAGCACATACAGGTCACTGCCATCTCCACCCAAACCTCATCCAAATGTCATCTGAAATCAGCAGTAGTGCTGGAGTTAGTGAAAGGCACACTCAGACATCTTCAGTACATCCAGAGAGAAATATATCATTACTTTAAGACCTCAACTCGTGCCTTTATTTTTTACTGCTCAGAGCACTTTGTCTGATGCAACAGGATGCCTCCAATTCCTTTAAAAAACAAACCTCCCCTGTTTGTTGCAATATTAATATCTGCACCTTGATAAAGCACCTTTCAGGCACAACCAGGAGCTCCCGACTCCTGTGTTGTAAGGTGACAAATGACACAGCTGGTTGCACAGAATAAACCAGGTTTTTTTCTTAGAGTATTCCTACTTAATTTATGCCTTTCTGCTGGTATTTCACTTGTCTGTGCTCTTGCTGCAACCCAAACCAGTGTGAAACAACAACTGTACACGATAAATCTCCCTAATTTCATTTCATTTTTGTGGTGCGTTTCAGATACTTGCAATCTGGACTCAGAGTAACTAATTCTAAAGATTAATAGCTACTTCAGACACCATTTACTGGCCTTGATCTTGGCAGATATACAGGTTTGACATTTACCCAGGAGAAACTAGGGTCTGTGCATTACAGTTCATGGATCATATACCAAAGAAGCGAGAATTCTCCTGCAAGACCAAACTGCAGCAGCTGGTCATGGTCATCACATAAAACACTGTTATAACACTTAGACTTCCTGCACAAAACCACTTTGCCTTAACTTCCCAAAGTACTGCATGCAATGCCTGGACTGGATTATCTCTACTGGGGAAACTGAGGCACAGGGTGGGTGATTTGCTGAAATTAGACCTTCTTTCATCTGCATGACCAAACTGATAGGGTTGTAACAGCTCAGCCTAGGCCAGGGCTCTGTGCTTCAGTGCTCTCTACTCACATTCAAGTTCATGTCTTAACAAAGCAGTTCTCGGCAGGTTTATGGCTACAACTATTAGCATAAAGCATTCTTAGCAGGTTGTGAAATAATTATAGGAATCAGGCACGAATCAGGCACAAATCCTTAGCAAACAGAGCCACTGGCAATAATTAGAAATTTAAAATTTACTGCTAAGCAGATTTCTGAGCGGTGTTACTTTAGATGATGTATTCGATGACGTATGAAGCTTTCAAAACTGTTATTACAAGAGAGAAAATTAACTGCCATTTTCTCTTAAACTACATCTTATCTACACACAACAGCTGGGCCGCAGTCATTTGCTCTGAGGGGAGCAACTCCCTCACTCTCGTTGCAATTACATCCACATAAAGTTGCTGTATGCTACCCTATGCAAAGAGGAGTAAGTGATGCTGCTATAAGACGTCCTTGTATTATTATTATAATGTCTTGGCTAGATTTGACTTGTCTGAAATCACAGGCATCCAGCAGCAGTTAGACTGGCAGCTGGAGAAAAGTGACAAGTATAGTAACATATATAATGTACCCACAGTGAGCAGTTAGCCCGCTGAAAGTGCTGAAGTGAAAAGCCACGCTCCCAATCAGCACATCTGGCCAGGTGCAAAACGTGGGTGAGCCAAGCAGCGAGCACATTTTCTACCAGTGAAAGTTTACAGGGTGCTCGGTTGTGTCACTCATCACAAAATGAGTCTTTTCTATATGCTCGTCCAGGGAATACGCAGCACATCACTAAGTCAAGAATTTTTTCTGCTTTAAGATTTGTGGTGCAGTTCCTCACACAAAATTCCCGCTGCCTTCAAGGATGTTAAGTGAGATTGCTTCATACATCATCACTAAGCCAAGAGTCATCTTCTGTGCATGAATCTGTGTGAATTTCCATTCCACAAATGGCTTCAATAAGGCAAATTCTGCAGTAACACAAATTGCAGTCAGATGATAGTGGGAGAATGTGACCGAGACATGAGCATCTCCCCAGGACCTGTGAAAACTTCAGCATCATTTGTGACAGCGAGGAAGATGTATCTGAATAAAATGACGGGCATTTCATCAGACTAGGAGAACAAAATCACTTTTGGAAGCAGGTTTCGTGCTGCCTGGTTAGAGTGAATTAAATAATGGTTTTTAAAAGCGTTCTCAGGGAGGTTCTGAGTGAAAGTCACGGGGTGTTTGTGAAGCCAAGGAAAAATGTCTTTCTCCAGCCAAGGCCAAGTGAGGTAGGTCAGCCTAAGCCAAGACTTCCCCTTTCCCAGAGGAAAGATCTGACTTTTAAGGAAAGATTATGTCAAAGAGAGAGTTTACTTAGAGCACAACTCCAGCAGCATGAGCTGACTCATTTTAGCTTGATATAATCACCATACCTTCACGCCAGGGCTTGCTGCAATTCCTTATCCGTGGCGCTTACAGGGCTGCTGTTTCCTTGCCAGCTCTGTATAGGCCCTGTTGCCAGCAGCAAAGGGCAATGGTTTTCTGGGGGTCAAGCAGGTCAGAGATTGCTGCTATTACCTGTTCTGGTGGGAAGGCAAGGTTACAGCTGCTCTGCTGCCCCCCATCTCCTGCAAACCCAGCTGCTGGTGGCCAGCCCAGGGGTCCTGCCTGAGGTACCTCTCAGGAACGGGGTTACCCGTGAGACTTACCCTAAGTTTTAGAAAATCGGAAAAACCGAGTAAATGCAGAGTGGTTTTGTTGTGAATGTGAGCACAGGAAAACCACAGCCCTGATTCGCCTTCCGTCAGCTAAACCTGCCATGTGAAATTCAGAGAAACCTATGGGAAGTGCTGGGCTGCCCAGCAGTGATCGATGGCATCACTTTTATCTGTACGGTCCCCCCTCCAACCTGTGCTTTAGGTAAGATATCCTAAAGCAGCAACATTATAATTGCTACTTTTTTTGTCTTGCCTAAGAGCTCAGGCAGCGATGGGGATTGCTCACTGCATGGACTACCACATAAAGGAGTCCCTCACGTGTGCCCACCCAGGTGGGTAAATGTGATAATCAACAACTAAAAGAAACTGCAGCATCTCCTGAGGGGTGACACGGAACGCAGATGATACAACCCCTCACCCAGGGGCGTATTTTACAGCCAGCTCTACAGGAAGACACCAAATCTGGGGTTTCAGTATGGATTCATTCCTTCTCCGAGCAGGAAAAGCTGGGTATTGTGTCTGTGCCAGATGTTTGCTCCCAGTGAACTCCACTGGGAATCTGCAGGATGAAATAAAAGATCAAAAGCAATTCAAAACACAGACAGGTGATTCTCTTTAAGCATCTGGCCTCAAGCCCTCGCAAAGCCTGGCAGAGGTCAATGTTAAGTGGTCCCTGACCATTT